TAGATAGATAGATAGATAGATAGATAGATAGAATAAATAGATAGATAGATAGATAGATATATAAATAGATAGATAGATAGAGAGATAAATAGATAGATAGATAGATAGATAGAGAGAGATAAAGAGAATGAGATAAATAGATAGAAGGATAGGATGCCCATCTCTCTTGAATACGACCTTTTTCAATACAATCCCAAAATTCACACGGAAATGCGTTTCAAAATGTTAATGAAAGGTGTAGAGCCAAAACAAGAAGAAGAAGAAGAAGAAGAAGAAGAAGAAGAAGAAGAAGAAGAACAACAACAACAACAACAAAAAACAACAACAAAACAACAAATAAAAAATAAAAAGTACGCAACAAGAAGAACAATGCTGATTTCTTTGATTTTAATATTATCACGAGTGCCTGATTTCATAAATAATAATAGATAGCTTGTACAGCGCAAATCCTCACTTAACAGCAAGCTCTATGTGCTTCACAATCTATACTATTACCCCAACAGACCTGAGAGCATTCTAAAACAACCTCAACTTCCTGGTAAGCGGCCGTTTATAGGCGCTGAAACACTAACATACTGACAAGATCTTTCGCTGTCTATGGCTGGGTACACATTTCATCTCGATGCCGAGCATATAGATTTGCTTATAAGCGTGACCATAGGCATCATCTGTTTGGTTCGACTCAGTTTTGTCAGTGTTTTCGATTTGGGGCTAGATGGATTGTCCTCCACTGGAGGAGCTTTGTTTATTTTAGAAGAGGTTTAAGGTCATATGAGCGCCAAGCGGTGGATGTTAACAGGGAAGTCCTTAAAGGGAATCAAGCTTACTCTGCTCTCCTCTCTAGCTACAACAGCACAACGTCTGCTTCGAATATCAAGGCACCCCGGAAATAGCGGGTCACAAGAGTGTGACAAACATACAAAAGAGGTAGAGGAAAATGACGATAGTAACGATTAGGAAAGAAAAAGCAGCAGATCCCTGTTGTAGTTCAGGCACAGTTATGAGCATGGCATTGTTGGATCAGCCCATTTACTGTGCATTAGAAAAAGAAATGTCCCCTCTTTGGGAATTGCCTAAAGACACTTCAGTCAGTGGCACCACCCCGGGGGTTCTGGAGGAGCAAAACCAATGAAACAAACAAAGATCCTACAATAGAGGACAGAACCGACTAAACCGATGGTGACCTTGATTTCAAGGCTGCGCGACACGGGCGATCAGTTTGGGCAATTGGTCTATTTAATTTTATAGTGTACACTGAAGTCGTCAGAAACCGAATCGAACGGGACCGAACCGACCCTCTAATGGGTGCTGCCTATTACTTCCCTTTGTGGTAAGTGACATCGGGAGTCAAACAAGGCTATGTCCTTTTTTCCATTACTCTTCATAGTCAACATAGGCATTGTAACACAAGAAGCGAACGACAACCCAGTATAAGTTGATGAACTGCTCTTCGCTGACGGTCAGAGCCTAATACTTCAATACAAGGAAAGCTTCGAGAATCATACCACTAAAGTCAACAAAGCATGTGAAAAATATACATTGAAAGAGAGTACAACCCAAACCGCATCATATGTCCAAGTCAATATCACACAACTGAAAAAAGTACAAAAATCCAAATACCTTGGGAGTATACCCTCATTACAGGAGCAAGTGAACACACAGGTTAATTAAAACACGAGTACAAAAGACAGGAACAGTCACCTGCCAACTAGCACCCATCTTCTCCCATCAAAGCATCCAATAAGAGACAAAGAAACAACTCATCAGATCAATTTTCAAACCAACTCCCTACAACCAGTGTAAAATCTGGATCCTCAACAAAGCGCAATAAAACAAGACAACAGAATGTGAAATGGAATGTCTCACGAAAAGAGGCAGAAAAAGAAACAAAAAGTCATAAGACAAAAGTGGACATTGAGTTGAACGTGGAATACACATTAAGAGCTGACAGCAAATCAGATGGCTTGGACACGTTATGAAACCATAGACCCAAAAGGCCTACAAAACAAGAATAGATCGCTTCAAGGCAAAACCAAGGTAAAAAAAGACGGATCTATGGAATAGAAGAGACCGCCCAAAGAAGCAATAATAATAAGTGATACGGAGGTCGAAAAAGCAATACGCTTGGTCCAAAACCGACAAATACAATCTTTGATACCCCACGATACTAGATGGCAGAAAAAAAAAAAAAATAAATTACGCGCTTTAAGACTCCGTCCGATTATCGAAAATTCATATTCTTAATAAAAAGCCAAAAACAGTTTGGGATCAAGGATAAAAGAAAAAGAGCGCTGTAGAATAAAGTTTGGCGGTTTGTAGGGGTTACCATACCTCGAATACCAGAGGGAAAAGAACAGTGAATGTTTTATGTTTATATACTAAAATTTATTGAAAAGCAGGAAGGTACTTTATTCCTAGGATATGACTCAGCAGTCTCATGACCTTTTGGGAGAGAGAGAGAGAGAGAGAGAGAGAGAGAGAGAGAGAGAGAGAGAGAGAG